ATCCAGGAGTGATCAAAATAGAAAGGGTCTAGTTTAGTGATGAGTAGATGAGGCCTCAAGGTCTCAGATAGATGTGGTCTGATATCCAACAAAGGAAAAAACTGACAAGAAGGTAATGCAAACTCATTAAAGCAAATCACAGCCCATTGTACAATAAATTAGGCAAATACATGATACATGACAAGGTGAATGGTTGTGAAAATGATAGTCAAATAATATCTTTTTTTTTTTTTTTCAGTAAATCTGTAGTGAGTTCCACTCAAAGCAGCCCACACAGAACAGGCCTATCTTGTGTTTCTCTGTGGATCTGTGGTGATGAACAGAGACACTGCAACAGATTTGAGTCTTGCGCACTTTGCGCTACATGAGCTGCTTCAGCACTGCCGACATGAGCAACACCAAATGATATATCACATGACTTTTCTTAAAGTGATACACACAGCAACACAGCTCGGCACAGGCATCACTTGCTGAGCTAGTTAGGCTAGTGTCACAGACCAGTAACATCAAAATGAAAATGGCTTCTGGATGGGAGCTGATTTCAAAAACTGTGTCAAGATGACAATCTCTCAAACCCTGTCTACCTTATCTTTCTTGAATGTGTTTAATCACAACTGTTTTGGATGCTAAAAATACTGGGGATGTAACGATATCCGAATCTCATGGTACGATATTATCACAATATTCATCTCACGATAATTATTGGGTTATTTTGGAGAGGTTAACAAAATGATTAAGATATAAAAGTGTTTAATAACTAATAATTATGTAATAATGTTAATAATTAAGTAAAGGATCATGATTTACGCAGTTCTCTCTTTTTTAGTACTTTTAGGTGAAAAACCTTGCAATTTGACATATTGTGACCGTCCACAATATGGTGAGAGTTTTGACGATATAATATTGTTATTGTTGTATCCCTAAAAATACTTGGCCTGTTGGCATCACTTGCTTGTTTCTATAGATTGATACATGTTATGCTTTGTAGTGGAAAATTCCCGAAAATGCCACCAGCAATGTTACATAATACACCTTTAATGTTTAATGATTTGCATACTGATCAATAGTTGTAGTACAGTTCACAAATTAACTTTTCAGTGTATGAACAAGATGTATTTTCTTTTTACATACTGTACACTTTTATGATTGTGTAAATATACAGATACCTCTTTAACTTCATCGCTCATTTAGTCCATTGGAATTTTTCGGATATTAGTATTTGTATGTTATTAGGTTCTTTTTTCAGACGAAAGGTTTGTTTTTATACCTGACTGCTCACTATCGGTCTTTCTCAGAGTGATCACCTGATGTTGCTGTAACTTGTCCGGTTAACGTACATAGGTTTTTGACGCTGAGGTTTTTGCCCCACAGCGGGTTAAATAGACCGTGGAGGCTCTGCAGACTCTTTAAACATGAGAATAATAACAGAAAAGACATTTGTGTTACCTCTTTGATACCTTCATTTAGCCTTTGGTGTGTTCGCTCAACTATGGCAAAAAAAACGGCAACAGCTCTAACTCCTACTTTTTTACTCTGCCTAATTAGCCATGTGCTCCAAGGATGAGAGTCTTTTTACAGACCTCACTGTTGCACTGCGGTAGAAAGTAACAAATTGGAAAAGTATAATTGCTTAAATCAGCACTACTTATGGTCAATATCATATATTTCACTCACTGACTTCTCAAACTATAGATTTTCTTTAGAGATAGATTTTTAGGAGTTTTATTCATTGCTCTTGTACTGTAACAAAATTGAGTAGCCTTAGTCTACTTCTTCACACTATGTGGTATCGGACTGGTATGAGCGTCTTCGAGTACACTAAGTACTGGTATCAGATCGGATACTAAAAAAATAGTATCAGAACAATACTAGTCTTACCTTTTCTTTAATTTTAAGCATCTTTCAGCATCCCATATTTGCCATTTCAAATATTTGTTGTAAGTCTATTCAGGTAAATTGATTAGAATTGGTCCTCTATGCAATCTGCAACTAAATTTTGAAAGTTTCTATCTGTACTGGACAAGAAACTGACAACGATCGATCAATCTGTATTTTTTGGCCATTAGAATCAAAATATGGGAATTTTTGGAATTGAAGCAGGAGCAGGAGTAGTCCATGTGTTGAATTGGCACTACCACTTAAAATGATGTAAAACTAAACCAAGTCATAATTAGAAAAACATGAAAACTGTTGTATAATAGTGTAGTATTTTGTGTTGTGTTTTGGGGGTTTATCGTTCATTTTGGAACACTTGTGTACGATCCAAGAGTCTGAAACTACTAGTATATAATAGTATCATTTGGCTTTATACTTCTCTAACACGGCTCATTGTACACAGTGTTGAGTCGGCCTCGGCTTGAATGTACACAATACAGAAAAGTGATGTGATGTTATGGTGATGTTAGTAGTCATAAAATTCAGGTAGAATGATCCGTATTGGTCCTTTATGTAGTCCGGCAGTGCTTATCCACTAACTGCTGCTCCAAAATTTGAATTTGGCAACGAAACTGACAACATTCGGTCAGATCAACCTCTAGTTTTTGGCTGTTAGAATCAAAATATGGGATTTTTGGAACTTTGGAGTTGAAATCAGACTGGAGGGAGCCATGTGTTGAATTAGCACTGCCGCTTAACCGTTGTAAAACTGTAATAAATACTTACCACAGGTACCATCCCACTAAATGAAGTAATAAATAGAAAATCATGAAAACCTGTCATAGTAGTAGAGATGTCTCATTTGGCATTTACCTCTCCAACATGGGTCATTGAGCTGCAGAGTGTTGAGTCAGCCTTGGCTTAGATGTACAAAATGAAGAAAACTGACATGATGGTGATGAGAGTAGAGAGGTATAATAATCGGGTAAATGATCAGAATTAGTCCTCTAAGCAGTTCGGCAGTGCTTATCCACCATCTGCTCCAAAATTTTCTGCATTGGCCAGGGAACTGACAACATTCGATCAACCTCTAGTTTTTGGTTATTAGAATCAAAATATGGGGATTTTTGGAACTTGGGAATTGAATTCAGACTGGAGGGAGCCATGTGTTGAATTGGCTGTGTCACTCGCTATCCCACCAAACCAAGTAATAATTAGGAAAACATGAAAACCTGTCATATACACTTTAAGTATTTTGTTTTGTGTTTTGGGGTTTTATTCTGCATTTTTGAACACTTGTGTACTACCCAGAGTCTGAAACTATATAATGGTCTCATTTGGCTTTACTCTCTAACTTGGATCATTGAACTGCAGTGAAGAGTTGGGTGAGATTCATTTTCTAACATTAAAAAAAACCCCGCATTAGACGGCATTAGTGCTGTCTATTGTATATTGTGACAGTAAATAATGTTGGAGGTTTGACTGAACCAAAACTCTCCATCTGTCATGGCTACACAGAAAACGTACATACAGATGGCCAAGCTAACCTCGCTTTAAATACAAAGATAAAATACACTGTTTGAAGCCCTGTTTGATGTTGTGCCAGATGTGCAGCACAGACATGCATTTTTCAGTCACAGACAACAAATTGCACATCTACAGTATCAATGATTTTTATCTGTGCAACTAATATACCTGATACAAATTTGTACGTTTAAGAACTAAACTAAAGAGCGAACCACACATGGATTTAAACATAACCCAAATTGGGACTTGAAGGAGAAAAGCGTTGTATTTTCAACTATGGGCCTCTAATGTCAGAGAATACACACCTTTTCATTAAATCAAATACAGCGTGGGCCTGTGGCTGGGCTCTGACTGCATGATCGCATTATAACAAAACAAAAAATGATTGAGATAATGTTTTATCAATCACCCACTGTTGCTGACGCATGGACATACAACATAACTGAAGGAAGAAAACATTACACTTCTGCATATTTGGGCAGTTTATAAAGTTGGTTCACTCATTTCTCTGTGCATTTGGGCAGTTTTTGAAGCTTTTTCACTCACCCGTGTGTCCAACTCTGCTTCTGTCCTTCACGGACATGAAGAAAATAACATCCAAAGCGAGTACGTATCCATAATGTACAAGTTCATAAAGTCAGGCAGAAGGAGCCGCGCACTCTTCCAGTGTCATGATGAGTTCAGGCACTTTCCGTAACCTTTTTTACAGACTACATTGAAGGTGACACATATTATTGTCATATCGCCTAACTCTACTGCAGCATTGAGTCAGCCTTGGCTTGGATGCACAGAAAATGGAAAACTGACATGCTGTTATAGTGTTAGTAGTCATAATATTCAGGTAAAATGATTAGAATTAGTCCTCTCTGCAGTTGGCAGTGCTTGTCCAGCATCTGCTGCTCCAAATTTTTAAAATGAAAAAAATCATATCTGCATTGTCCAACATTCAACCAACCTGTACTTTTTGGTCATTAGAATCAAAATATGTGGATTTTTGGAACTTGGGAGTTATACTCAGACTAGAGGAAGCCATGTGTTGAATTGGCACTGCCATTTACTACCCTACCAATCCAAGTAATCATTGGGAAAACATATACACCTGTCGTATGAACATTTATTGTGTTTTGGCATTTTATTGTGCATTTTATAACACTTGTGTACAGCCCAGAGTCTTAGACTATGTAATAGTCTAATTTGGCTTTAAACTTCCCTAACTTGGATCATTGTACACAATGTTGAGTCAGCTTTGACTTGGATGCACAAAATAAGGAAAAATAAACACGATGATGATGTTAGTACTCATAATATTGGGGTAAAATGATTACAATAGGTCCATTATGCAGTCCGGCTGCTCTTAGCCACCATCTGCTGCTCCAAATTTTGAAAATATGTATCTGCATTGGCCAGAGAACTGACAGCAACATTCCATCAACCTCTAGTTTTTGGCCATTAAAATCAAAATATGGGTATTTTTGGAGCTTAACATTTGGAATTGAAATCTGACTGGAGAAAGCCATGTGTTGAGTTGGCTGTGAGATACAGTGAATGCAGTAAATGTGCTTCTCTAAATGTCTGGCGTCTTTATTGTTTGCTCACAGATTGCACGCGACTTCAACCCCAACTGGATGAGCGCCGTGGAAATCCTGGACGACGACAACTTCCTGGGAGCAGAGAATGCCTTCAACCTGTTTGTGCCAGAAGGACAGGTGAGGGGCCGGGGGTAGGGGCCCGGAACAAGGGGAGGGGCTGGGTAGAGGGTGAGGGAAGTATTAGAGTAGAAATTAGTTTCATACACACTTTAATCACAGTCAAATCAAAATTGCAATTTGAGTGGATGCAATTATGAAATCACAAAGACTGAAATTTCTGAAGTCCCATATGTTTATGAATAACAGAATAACTAATGAAAGAATAACAGATGTCGGCGCAAACTGGATGCTGGTGGTAATGTACTGTCAAACTAGAACACCGTATCAACAATGTCTCATGTACTCTTCTGATATACACACAGTCCTTCAGTATGTCCTTCCATATGATAAACTACAGAGGTTATTTACAGTAAATTCCCGACTATAAGCCGCTACTTTTTTCTCACATTTTTGAACCCTGCAGGTAATAAAACGATTCAGCTAATATATGGACGGATTCTTTGTTTGGCACATTTTCCATTCATATATACGCTCTATGGTTTGGTAACACAGCGGATACACACAGCCTGAGTGCAGAAAACGCTGCTGTCTGTGCAGTTACACATGGATCTATGGTTAATATCACTAGCTACACTAGCTAGTGATATTGTCAGTGCACTCAAATAGTTTATCACCATGTGCTAAAATAAGTTACGATGCTAAATGAACATTAGTGAGGTCTTACCCGTATGTGTAAATGACGAGAAGAAACATCTCAAACTTCAGTAGGTGGTCATCCACTCATATCTGATTGATAGAACTCGCCCCACCCCCAACAGGACTTCGGGTCTTGCAGGAGTTATGCGGCGTAGAGCACGGGAAGAGACGGGGGTGATGCACCGAGGAAGATGCCAGTTTGATTGTGTTTTGAACGGTTATTTTGCGCTTTATACACACACCCTCCTCATGGAAAACACACGAAGAAATGCCAATGATGCAGCTTTTAAGTTAATGGCGATTGATATCACTGTGGAAGAAGGAAATCGAGCTGCTGCCCGTGAGCTTGACATCAGTGAGTTTATGGTGAGATTTTGGTGACGGCAGTGTGACTCAACGCAAAAAGACGACAAAAGCTTTCAGACGCGATAAAACCAGACAGCCTGAACTTGATAATGTTCTTGAAGACGTGGACACCTCTGGCTTATATTCAGGTGCGGCCCATATATGTACAGTTTTAAAATTGTGTTAAAATTTTGTTGATGAGGCTTATATTCAGGTGTGCTCAATAGTCTGGAAAATACGGTAAACTCTTCATTTGGCAATCGTTCAAGTCGATACGGTTTTTCCAACTGCTACAAAAGCCAGTTGGAAGCATACTGTAGACTGTATGAAGAAGTTGACTAGGAGTCTGTGAAGTAACCCATAGCGCTTGGTTCCAGTCAAATGAAGTTCACCGAGGTTGCAGTTATGGGGAAAATTAGGAGCCGAGTTCCATATTAAGATTAGGAATCGATTTATGGACAACATAGTGAAATATAAACTCCAAGAACATGCAGAGCGACCATTTTAAGACCAAAATGCAGAGTCTGAAAGCAGCCGTTACGGAGAGGAGGTGGAGGAGGACAGTTTTTCAATACAAAGTGAACTGGAGCCGAAGTCAGTGGAGCCGGAAGTGCGCCCATGCTCACTTTTTATTTAGAACGCGGCGCCTATCAAGTCAGCTATGTTCATTTTTATATGTATAGTCTATGGTTGGAAATAAATCTAAAAGACCTCTCTGAGCTTCATAACCACCACAACATTAAAACACCCGTCCCCAGTTGAGACTTCTTTTCCCCAGCATCCAAATCGGTGTTTGTGGAAACTTTGATTGTTAAAAACTTTCAATGCTAGTGCTAACTGTGGAAACATCTTGTGTGACTAAAATTTTATATGCCTAAAAAAAATGCCCCCGGTGTGAAATTAGTCAGCCACCAAATTCTGGAGGTTCATGAACTTTGATGAGTTTCCGGCGTATGGAGACTCAGACAGTGATAACCTGTGTTTGTGTCCTCATTATACAGCAGCCATAAGCATCCCAGACGGTGGTGCTGTTTTTAAACCATAAGGATGATCACTAAAAACAAAATAGGTTCTATCTCATCCTGCCGCTCAGAGAACAGCTTCAGTCACAAAATTAATACCGTGGGAGCAAACAAAGTGTATGAGAATAGATTTTAATTATTCAACTGATTTACCGTTCATGTGTTAAAGGTGCACTGTGTAACTTCACCTGCTTGCTTCACTGGAGGTGCTACTTCTATGATTGGAATGTCCCACAGTATGACATTAAACTTTATCTTCCATTAATTAAATTGCAGTTGTTTTAATTGCTAAAACTAGTTTGCTAAACATGTATTCCTATTTTGAGTGAACCTCTTCTCCACACATCTGATGTGTAATTTTGTATGGTGGTGTCACTGGCTTGTTTCCATGGAGATAGGTTGTGAAACATTCATGGAAACACAAATAACCTTCGTGCAGAGTTCATTCTCATGATACACGCTGGACTTGTTTCTTTTATTAAGTTGTTGAGTTGTTGTAGATCAATATATAAGTTCTTCTTCAGAACTGAAGAAGCAGCTTGGATGAGCTGTGAAATGTATTCGACCAAATAAACTTTTGTCCAGTCGACAAATTGAACTTCTCCTTTTGCCATGGATTCTACCATGGATGACTGAGGGATTTTACACACTCTCATAAAGTGGTAAATTTAAAGTGCACTATCTCATCCACATTATACATAAAACTGGTCCTCTGTGCTATTAATCCAATTTGAGGCGTTATTTAAAAGTAAAAGGCGAGAGTAGTTCACGTGTGTCTGTTTACATCCGCACAGCACTCGGATTGAGGTGAAACTGCAGATTCACAGTAGTGACTCTACTTCCTGTGTATTTTATCACCAATCTTTTATGCTTTACAAATCATGTATCTGACATTTTGCACCACATTTCACAAATAATAATAAAACAGTTTTGACCTGCGTCTTAACTACAAGTGCAGAGCTCTGATCTTTCTTGCAGAGCAGGAAACAGCTGACACGCTGATGTGTCCGAGTTCGACCCAAGCCCAAACATAATGCTCTAATCCACAGGCATTATAACTATATAGCATAAAGCATATCAAGTCTTCTGTAAAGTTGCATCTTTTCTCCATGGATATGTTATTGCTTTGTCTGGAATGTTTCACAGTATGGTATTAAACCTTTCTATCTTCATGGAGACCAAACCAGACCAAGTTACAGGACTGATCTGTGGAGAGTTTTTCTAGGTATTTCTTAGCTTTAAAACTGCCTGTAATTGAATAAATGTAAGGTAGAGTTGTTAAATGTCATACTGCTGAACATTCCAGGTAGAGCAATGACATATCCATAGAAACAAACATGCAACAGGATACACAACCAAAAAGTTACATAGTGCAGCTTAAGAATATAAGACTCTGCCAAGTGTCTGTACAAGTCTTTATTTGCAGTGAGCAGCTCCAGTGATCCAGGCGCTCTTAAGTCATCGCCTGTATGACAAGTGCACAGTGAGCCGGAGAAGACAGATGTGGCGTGGGCCGAGGAGTGTTGTGAGAACGCCTCCCTCCATTATGAGAGCCATACGTCAGGCCGGAGCGCTTTGCTGACGACCTTTACCTCCACGTCTCTTCGCTCTGCTCCTCTTTTTATCATGAGCTCTCTATCACACCATGACCTTTCGCCGCATCGTCCCCTGTGTTTTCTCCGGCCTCATCGATCGCTATTGTCCCACTCAAGGCTGTTCCACTAACAACACACTCTGTACTGACGCAGTTGTCCATTTTTTCCCTTACTGAATTGCAGTTTTTCAGGCAATCACAGTACATATATGTTTGACTGTAGGACTATTGACATTTACCGTTTCCAAAGTGTTGCACATATAGAGATAATGTTGAAGGTGCCCTCTGTAACTTTCCTGTAGTGGGTCCGTCACCTGCTTGTTTCGATGGAAATGTCATTGCTCTCCACAGTATGACATTAAACAGGTGGTTTTGTTGCTCAAAAATACCTAGAAAAACAGGCATTCTGCCTGTGAACAATGTTGCCACTCCACAGATCTGACCTGTAATTTGGTCTGGTTTGGTCTCCGTGAAGATGGAAAGGTTTACAACAATACTAACAAAGATTTCACATCTCCATGGAGAATAAAAAAAAAAGAAAAAATAGATGAATCAATCAATTTTGTTATAGTTGACTAATCATTTTATTGAGATAATAAAGACTGATATGAGACAACAGAAAACAGCAGAAAGGAGATGTTTAAAAGTATTCAAGGGCTCGTATTACTCTGTTTTCTGATCTATGTTATTATAATGTGTTTAATTTCATTCATACATGTTTAACACACAAACTTTGCTTATTTAGGCTCTAGTTGTTCTCTCAAACAGAAACCACACTTTCTCCTTGTGATGTGCTAATACAGGAAATTCTCCACTGTGTTATTCTGTGTCAATCAAATGGAGGAGGCTTTTCATGAGGCTAATTCTGACCAATCAGATGGGTTTCCTACATGTTAAAAAGTTAAATCGACTCACTTAGGATCGATTGCTTGTGACCATAGACTGTATATATAAATTAACATAACTAATGCACTAGCCACCACATTCCAAATAAGATGTTCTCATGATGCCTCTTCCGGCTCCTTCTGACCCTAGGTCCCAGTGACTTACTTTAAAATATTGTGGCCCCTCTCTCTGTAGCTGCTGCTGTGAGCCTCATTATTTTGTACTTAAAATTTCCCATTAACCCGCTCTACATGAACCTGGTTTTGTTAAACTAGTTTGTCAATTAAAAAAATCCTATTCATAATACTGAGTCTGGTTCCAAATTCACCCCTGTAGCCGCTAGGATCACGAGTTTCATTTGAGTGGAGCTGAACACTATGGGTGACATTTTATTATTATTTTTTTTTAGGGTTGTAGACACATTGGAAATGCATAGTTTTAAAAAAATCATCAACAAAAATTCAGAATGAAAATAATCACACATAAAAATTTAAAAACTAAATTCAATGCCATTT